TTACCAGATGGTCAATTAACAATTAACTGTCATTTAGCCATAATAGTAAAACCCGTTTTTGAAAACACGTATTAATATAATGTTATTATATACAATAAGAATTATTATTAGTAATATATTGCTACTTACCAGATGATCGCGTAACAATTAACTGTCATTTACCATAATAGTAGACCCGTTTTTTGAAGAAAACAATATTAATACAATCTTATAAGTTCTAGCAACGCATCTTCACATGCACTATTTATCATCTTCAACCCTTCTTTTTCTTTCTTCGACTTTTCTCTATAATTTTCTTACTCATTCTTCTGTTCGATATTCCTATACTCTTACTTATAACTTGTCTTCCGACTCCTCTAATCTTTTCTGTTTGCTACGCCTTTTCATAATCTCCTCTTGTCTTGTTTAATTCTTGCTCAAATTTTTCCTAAATTGCCATTTTAAAAAAAAAGATTTGTAAATTAATTAATCTTCATTTTTATTGATTTATCGTAATTGTTACAATTGTTTCTTATTACTATGCATAATTTCGACCAATGATAAATTAGTGGACACATGACTTGGAATTTAAACAAATTATTTTTTTAATTTAATAGAAAAATACAAGTTAAGAAATTGTGAGAGCACTTGCATGGGAGGAAATACTTGGACCAAAAGTCATTTGTAAGTATTACCTATTCTTTGGGCATTCTGACAAAATCTAACTTTCACTATTACTACTGCTATTATCATCAATAATGTTATCATTAATATTCGTGTCTTCTTTGCTTTCATTATCTTTGTTGACTCATTCCTGAATTGCTTCTATCATTTTTCTTCTAGGGTTTGCTTTTCATTGGTAGAAGTTTTTAATAGTACTTCCTTTCTCCAAGTAGTTCACGAATTTCATTGACCATTTTACAGAATGAAAAATCGGTGTGTAAAATTCGCCGTGAGTATAAAATGTGCGCATTTACACCATTTTACGAAATCTAGCTTTTTGCAAAAACTTTTACTATATATCCCAAATAAAATTTTTGCATTATAACAAAAGTGTCCGCAAAAAATTTGAATAAATTTAAATCTCTGAACTTGATTTATTTGGAAATTCTAACATTTAATAAAATTTTCTACATGTTTTATGTTCGAGTTAATCTTTTCATGCATCAAAATATCGGTTATGAAGTTTACAAAAAATTAATTTTATTCTTTAATTTCTTGTATTGCAAAGTAAAAAAGTACATATGGGGGGTTTTCTAGCAAAAACCGTGTATAAGGCCTCCAGACCAAAATTGAGTTTTCTGCATAATATATGTCTATACCACAAGGATTATGACTGGTAAAAATTTTAGACATTATTTACTTAGTACAATAACAAGATATAAGGCTTGAAATATTCACTTTATATATCAAAACATGTGTAACATATTTTGCAAAGATCATCACTCAAAAAAATTTATTCTAGAAAACCCCCATATATAATATAATACATTATAAAAAAAAGTACAGATAAAAAATAAAATAAAAATATCACATGATGTATCGTAACTTTAACGGTTTTTAAAATTTTCTAATTAAATTAATTATTCTTTTTTTCAAAATTTAAAAAAAGAATTAAAAGAATTTATTTGTTTCTTTCTTTCACTTTATGTCTCAGATAGTCGGATGCGCGTTTGGTGTATCACTCTTGGTCGGTTGTGCGTCTGTCTCACCGAAAGTCTTGCAGCAGAATCCACCAGGGTATGCTTCAGCATTAGGTAAGATGGAAAATATAATCAATAAAATAGATGCGAAAATAAGACGTTTCATTGTGAAGATAATTTATATTGGAAGTTTCTTGGTGTATGATTATTAATAATTTTAATTTTACCGATTTTTTTTGTGAATTTGTGAATTTGTGAATATAAGAAAAGAAAAAAAGATTACATTTAAATACTTTTATTTCTATGAAATTCATTAAAGGTTAATACATTATACATCAATGAATTTCATAAATCTGAATATTAAGCAACCAATAAAAAAAGAGATTTTTTAGGTTAAAGTTATATGAAGTAATAAGAAACAAATAATATTACTATAATGTTTAGTTATTAAAATTAGGATCCTAGTTTTCGAAATGAATGAATGGAGAAAGAACGAATGGAACAAGATGATTATGATCAATTTTGGGAAGTCTCTCAAGAGCCAACCACACAAACTCAAACCCATCCGATCTTTTTACAAACCTTGTCTTGTGTTATGTAGTACAAATGTAAGATACATAATATGAAACCATCACGCCCTATTGAAAGTATTTTAGGGTGTCTCGCTCTCAAGCCAAACACGCTCACTCTAACCATTCATCATTTATATTATCTTGTTAATTGTAATAATCAGAAGTACATCCACTAATAAATAACAATCACTCAACTTCAATGAATATATTATGATTGATCAAAATCTTCTTGTTCAAGAAGAAATGACAATACAAGAAATCATAAATATTGTAAAAGGACAAGTGAAGTTGGAGATGAAAATGACGAAACAAATGAACCTGGGCCAACGATTACTAACATAGAAGATATAAAGCTCTGGAAACTGCACAGCAAAAAAATTTAGATATTGTTTGCACTTGTTCCTGAGAATTTTTGTAAGAAATTAAGAAATTTCTCTTTTTAATCTTTTGACATTTCTAATTACTTGAAAATCAAGAATGAAAGATTATTATGATATTAACGTTTTAAATGGACGAATTATTTTTTTTAATCTTACCAACTGTATTTTTATTATTATTATTATTATTATTATTTGCATTCACATTATTATTTTATTTTTTTGATCACATGATTTAATTAAAAAATTTGATTTTTTACGGATAGCTCGGTTTAGCGGATGTCTAGGTTTTTAATATTAGCGGATTAGGATAAATTTCCTGGGACAAACATATCCGTTAAACCGAGATTCGCTGTGTATAGTGAATCGTACTATTACTATTACTATATAGTGAAGTTTTTCAAACAAGCCCTTCACTATACTGTATATACACAAATTTTTATAATGTGTAATGCGATACGCGTCCGTCACTGGCTAGTATATATTGTATATTAATAGCGCAAGTTATCATAGGATTTTATTGGTTGTATAAAATTCATTTGTGGGAACAAATAACACGCACACATTTTGAAACGAATAATTTTATTAATGTTAATATTAATTCTTCAATACAATTAGTTCATCATTATGCTCAAATAATTTGAATTTAATTTTTCAAAAAAAGATTTTCTTATCACAGAAGCAATGCTATCTAAAATATCCAACCAGGCATGGAGTTTTTATAGCTTCTATATGCTGATTTGCGGGACAATGGTTTTTCTAAAGAAGCAGGTTTCAAAATAGAAACATTGTCACTAATGGTTAAATCATTAATATTTTCGATTTGTAATGAGATTAATTTACACAAATCAGGATAAATATTTAATGAACGAGTTGTTTTGAGCAATAACAAATTAATTATTGGTTGATTTATTAGCTTTATTTGATTGAATTTGCTCTGCTTCAGCCAATTCTATTGATTTCTTATGTTCAGAGATTCTCAAATGGGGTATGATGCAACAAAACCAGACAAAGTGAACATTGGTATTACCAGAATTTCAGGGATCAATAATGTTTGCTTAACAATCCACCAATGTAATGTGAATTGTTAAACACAAAAGAATAACTATCGATACAATGTGTAGCCTTTTAATATCATATGTACATCATAATTTCTGTTTATATAGAAAACGTAAATCATACAATAATAACAATAATACATGATGTATATCATGTAGTATATTAATACATAAGAATCTTACATAAAAACCTGTAGATAATCAGAATCATGACCTCTTCCCCTTCCACAACCTCTTCCCCTACCTCTAGCCATATTCTTTTGTCTATTTTTATCCACCTTACTAGATTGTCTTTCTTGGGCAAAAATTCTGCAAACGTCACAATTTGAGGTCGATATGGTGTAAGACCGGTAGAATATTTCAATATAGGGTTCTAATCTTATTAATAACATTGTATCGCAGACAAAGAAATGTATGAATTAATCTGGGTGCATTGAAACAACAGACAAACACGCGGTCAACAGTGTAGTTGGTGACAGAATAGGACAACTCAGGCTTTAGAATCAAATAAATCGTGTGTAAGTCAACTTCCCTTAAAACTCTTTGCCCCGATTTCGGACGTTTCGTCATAGTACTCGCCAATGATTTTCAATTCATTTTTGTGTCTAAAAAGTCCTTCTCTAGCCGGAAATCTAAAAACTTCTTGAGTGTAGGTTTTTCTACGCTCTTCCAAAAGTCTATATACGTTTTTACAAACAGTAAGTTACATTATAAAGCGTTGAGAGATCTGATTATAATTTACCTACCAGGATACCTTAACGCGTTTAAGCACTTGGGAATCAGCTTCATTTCATGCTGCGCGCCATTCTTTTTATACACCGATTCAATCTTTTTATCAAATAATTGTGTGAAGTCTTTCCATAAAGTCTCAATTTCTTTCAGGTATTTCTTTTCACCAATTTTTTTCCCAGGCTTCATTTTTTTAATTAGTTTATCAATTCTTTGGTTTATATTACAGAGCTGATTGTAATTTTTATAATACCAAGAAAAAGACCGATTAATAGGCCACAGATGAATTCGGTGGTAAAGGTAAGCATTTTTGTTAAATGTTTTTAAGAAAAAAGCTATTTATATAAATAATATTTGATGAGATTACTACGGCAGTCATGTGATGCGATCAAGGAAATTATTCCTAAAAAGAGAAAATTTTGTAATTTTATACATTAATATTAATAATTTCAATAATACTATGGGAGAATAGCTGGTTACCTAACGTTATTTTATGCACGTTTTGTAAATACATAGATATTTGTGCGTATAGATTTTTATTTTAAATGCATATGTGTATTAGTATATAATTTTATCAAACACAAAAACTAGCTATTTTATTATTTAATTCACAAAAAATTGCTAAATTCGTTTATCCTTTGAATGCCTAATCAAAACTTCACCATCTGGTCCCATTAATTGCTAAATTTTGTTGTGAAAAAATGCAGTATTAGAAAAGGGAACGAATAGTTAAAATACACATTGCGAGTTTTGACAAACCAGTACTTGAAATAAAAATGCTTACGAAAAAAAGCATAGCAGAAAAAGAAAAACAGGAAAAGAATGTCTGTAAAAAAGTAAAATGCAAGAACGTTTTGGTTATATCTGCACACTGATTTGTATTATTAATAAATTCGGATGAAAATATTAAATTAGTAGCTTAGAAAAAAACTTCAAACCTCTGTTGAATGGTGTGGTTGTACTACTAAGTAAAAAAAAAAAGGTCAAGTGTAGACTAATTTAATTCAAAATTGGTTTTTATTAAATATTTTTTTTTTACAAAATTAATAAAATTAATGCAAAGGCCCAGGTCAGTCAGTATATAGTTGGATTTCCATCATCATCAATAACGGCTCTCTTATTGGCATACTATCAACTAATTTCTTTACTTTAGGAACAAATTTTACTCACTCCACTTTCAACGCAACAAATAATTCATCTTTATTTCTAGGCGGTGTTCTTTCTTTCTAAAACATACCACAAATTTCAATGGGGACTCTGTGCAGGTCATGGAATATATGAAATTGAAACTCGGTTCAGCCTTCCACATATCAATAATACTCTTATTTAGAGTAATGTTTTAAGCTTTAAAGACAATTATTTGATTTTGATTAGAAATTGATGGTCTGAGTCTTTTATTTTAAAAATTATACTTTCACGAAATAATTTATACTAATACTATATTACAAACATATATTTTGTTAATACATCATTAATAATAATTGATTAAAATTAATAATTTCGTTTAGGAAATTCAAATCCTCGCCATTACAAATAGCTTTCTTTGTCTAGCGAATTCTGTTGTCAGAGTCTTTTTGTTCATCAGGTTGTTCATGAAGTGATTTGCTTTGTTGGTTAGGTTGTTCATAAGGTGATTTATTTTGTTCAATAGGTTCATGAGATGATTTGCTTTTTTCATCGGGCGTTGGTTTACTTCCAATTAACTTCATAATACTTGATCGAACACCACATGACAAAAATGTAAAAAACAAAGAAGCAAGCGGACAAACAATAAAAGCTCCCAGGACTGAATAATCCTCGCCATAAAGACCCAATGGCAAATTTATCAAATTGGCACCATCACTTGCATTATTATAATAAATACTACCAAATATAAAAATCCCCAAAAAGCCTCCTAATCCACCTGCAATTGCATCAATTGAATTAATGTAATAAAATTTGTCAAAAATTCCAAGTAAAATTGGTGGCATTGCTGCTGTTGCTATCAGATCTCCAATTAGGAACACTCTTAGAACATCTAGATTGTATAGACCAAGTATAACTATATACGTATTTATAATTTTGTTTTAATTAAAAATTTTTTTTATTTAACTTTAGAAACAAACACCAAGAAGGACTTGTAATAATTACTTACCAGCAGGAATATTAAAAGCAGCAGCAAACAATCTAATTGCCCATAATGGTAACCTATTATGAAATATATCATTTGAAGATGTTGCAACAATGGCTGTCAACAATGTGTCGTAGGCAGAACAGCACAAACAAACCACCAACACCAACACAATTCCAATAACCCAATCAGGCAAAACACTAAACAATGTAAAGAAAGCTATATATCCAGGTATTTCTGGTGTCAATGTACCAGCCCATACTGCCAGTATCCCGGTGAATCCGATCAAAATCAATGCTGGAAATAAGATTAGACTACCGTACCAAACTGATAAACTTAATTCTTTATCATTCTTGGATGAGAAGGTCCTTTGCCAAAATCCCTATAATTAAATTGATCGATTGATTGATTAATTGGTTGCTGATAGGGTGATTATTATTTTAATGGGGTGAATCGATCAATTGATTGGGTAGATGATAGATTAAATGAAATAATATGATTCATCCAACCAATCAATCACAAAACCAACTGACCAACCAAGCCAAAATTATATATATATATATATATATAATTTACCTGATGAAATAAATTGGCAAAAGAAATAGCAACAGGCATTATGTAAAGTAATTGCCAACCCAAAGAATTTGACTTGAGCAAATCACTACTGTCCTTCAACTCTTGATCAATTTTTACTGATGCGCCAAAACCAATTGTTGCGATTATAATCAAGATGACAATTACTGCTCCTTGTATAAAATCTGTAAATATTGAAACTCGAAGTCCTCCATATGCTTTAAAATAATCAAGTAAATATGCAGTGAATTAAAACAATAATCAATGAATTCAATAGAAACAAAAAATATCATATAATTACTTGTGTAAAGACAAGTCACAACTGCGATCGTAATAATTGAAAGTTTAGGATCAAAATTTCCCAATTCTAACAATATACTACCAACGGCTGACAACTCACTAATCATATAACACAACATGATAGCCAATGACATCAATGAAATGTAAATTTGATTGACGATACTAAATCTCTTCAACACAAATTCTGTTATGGTGAATCCTTCAGGACATTTTTTACGAATGTATGGTCCAAAAAGTGTAAACACGAATAATGAAACGATAGTCCCGAATGCATACATAAATACACCTAATATTCCTGCTAATACTCCTACCTCTGGATATGCATACAATGATGATGATCCAAGACCTAAGGAAGAAACATTAACACAAAAAAATTTTTTTTATTAATTGAAAAAAAAAAATAAATATTGATATTTTTATTATTAAAGGATATTTAAATCAACAACAACAAAAAAAGATACAACGCAGTTTAATATATATATATATATATACATATATATATATTTAAAAAAGTGGCAGCTTCCCTACGCAGGCATTACCCTGATCAGGTATTGACAGTAAATTCTCAGCTCAATATTGAGCACCTGTAGTGCCATTTTTTTTTCCTGCTTTTTTTTTTATTAAATTGTTTTTTTTTTTTTTTTCAAAAAGAACGATAATGATAGATAATTTATTATTATTTATATCTTTTTTTTAAAAATAAATGATTAAATCTTCACTTACCAAATAAACAAATATTGATGCTGCCACTTTTTTTATTTTCTTAAATTTTTTTTAATAACACTCACATGAAGCTATCCAGTTAAGTGCTAATGGTACAGCAGTTTGAGTTCTTAAAGAAGATAAAAAATCGGATTTATTTTTCGTATTTTTATATGCAGCATACAATCCAATAATTAAAAATGAGAAAACTGTAATGAAAAATAGAGCATAAGCTGCTGGTGTAGAAAGTGCCATTTTATTATAATAATATCAATGATATTGACTTCAGTTGTAATATTATTATTATAAAAAAAACTTTTTTGTAAAATTAAAACAATTTATAATTAATTTTTTGATCTGATCATCTTGATAAAATTAAAACTTTAATAATTAGCCGAACGACAATAATAACAATAATATTGATTGATAATCAATAAATTATGTTCAATGTTTACTATAAACCAATTAATATTAATATATACTAATGTAACGACTGTGACCATTTCGTACGCAAAAAGTAAATTTTGCGATTTTTAGATTTAAAAAAAAAAAAATCGTCAAAAACAAAAATTAAAATATATACAATTAAGAATATTATATTATTTAATGATCACACGTTTCTTTTACGGTTTTTATTCCAAATAATAAATGCTTTATCATAGCCAAAATCTTTGCTTTCTGATCCTTCAATACTAAGTCTCGTAATAATAAGCTTTTGTACTGCTATATAAGAGAATTACGTAATTTTGATTTGATTAAATTTAAATTTTGTACACTAAACCCCCTTTCACAATCCATACTTTGATAATCATTTTTTTAAAAAATAATTGCGCCAAATGATTATTTAGAAGTCAGGGAATAATTTGTTGCAGCCAGATTTTTTATTTAAACTTACTAGCAAATGTTATAAGGATTTAAAACCTCGCCATTTTTGTAATATTTCGTCGTATATAATTTTCAAAATTTGCCGCCTGTTAAATAATATAAATAATATAGTAAAATAAATTTTACTAATTTCTCAATTTCGCATGATATTTTCCCACCTAACCATTTATGTCACATTAATTTTCTTAAAATTCTATTGGCTAAAATTCTTTAGTCTGCTCGTATCACAATGATTTTCTTGAAATTTATTGGCTAAAATTTGTACACGTGATAAAATTTAAAAAGCCGCGCCCTTGTATCACTTGATGGCTTTTTACTGTCGCCACTGTACTACACAGTGGGTCTCGATTTAACGGACCTCGATTTAGCGGATTTAGGGGTTTAACGGATAAATTTTCAAAACCAAAT